ATTTTTTCCGATATTACTGGCTCTTGAAAAAGTAGGAAGCTTCTAAGAGATGAGGAATAGGGAATAGTTCCCATCTCGGTTCATGCGACGTCCCGGGCGCGCGCTTCATTACTGGACGATACTCTGAAGCTTGAAACAAGCTGCCTTGTGACAGCACTGACAGGACCTACCGAGAATTGAGATAAATTCGTATCCAACAGTATGTTAACTCGCCAGAGAGCATTACATCATGCAAACAAGGCGATTGCTGGCCAGAGAACCATGACTGAATGAATGCTTTGCACTCGACAACTGAAGATGCGTGGATGACCAATAGATATCCTCTGGTGGATGACTGACTGCTTCCAATAATCCAGGTGCAGGGGTCCAACAGTTGGGGCTCTCGAGCTCATGCTACGATTTGATGGCAATTGGAAGTTTGCATTATCTACTAAACTAGTATTGTCCACAATGAACTTAACCAGTTTGGATTCTGGATCCTGGCAAATCGATTATGTGAACCAAACTCCTTCTCAAGCCCTTAGCTCAAACTATGCGGCCGGAAACCAGCCGAGTCGCGATTGATCCACATACGGAATGCGGCAACAATAACCCCAACAATTGTACTCCGTACTTCGCTACGGCTCCGTGAACACATCGACAGGGAGTCAGCATCTGTGACATGAGCTCTGTATCTTGAGTCATCTTAATATGGTGAACCCTGGGATCTGGAAGCAACGAGTTTAGGCTGTCCGCGGCTGTTGACCATGTCACTATTTCCCTTTTAGGGTAACCGGGATCAAGTTACAAAACCACGTTGTTTATATGACGGATCACGGACTAAGAAACTATTCAATTATTTGACGCCTATCCTAACTAGTCCATTGGTTAACCAGGAGTCGACATGAAAGCTTGGAACAAATGGACCAATTTCCAGAGAGGTAAGGATACTCCGAGTCCAAGCACCAACGAATTGAGCAAAGAGCACAGGTACGGAGTAGTTAACTATGTTCTGCAGCCGCCAGGCCCACATACGTCTTGGCCTTGATGTGATTGCGTGCCATACCGGCACATCCTCGGACTCACCGCGTCGCCTAATTGCTCAGTATCTATCTATTTGCGTCCATTGAGAACCAAAGTCGACTCAGAATTGAATGGTAAAGCATGGATGATCCTGAGGCGATTCTTTTCTGTTCCATGCCGTCGTTGCGTCATATAGCTGTTTGTTGTTCAGCCAGCCTTCAGACGTTCAGAGGCCATGAAACGTCTCATTCGGCTATTGAGTGCGCCGTAAAAATTTTCCTAACGTGGATGCTCTACGCTTACTGGCTCTTTTGATTCTTGGCTCTGAAATATTGCCGATGACTTGCTCTGTTGGTCGCTCTACATGCACAACAACATTGGTCTTTCGCAGTCGCAGACCCAGAAATACAAACAAACAAAAAAAACAAGACTCTTGACCGGTACACACACTCATTGGTCAATGGTTTATCTCCCCTGAATGGTGCTGAATTGCTGGTCAACGGATTCCTGCAAATCACGTAGTCATAGGAACTGGGGACGACGATCAAGGCTCCAGGTCCCTCGTCGCCAGTCTCGTCGAATCCTCAGAGACTTCCAGGAGGCAGGAGCAGTCCATGGTTTCCGCATTCTAGATCGCCTCCATAGTTCCAAGATCCGAGACATCTTTCAAAGCCACACCAGATCAGATTTCCCTTCTGGGAAATAGATCGTTGACGGATGACAACGATGGACCGCTCCTTGATCGAAAATCTTGTGCAAAAAGACCTCGGCTCACAGATCACGTTAGAGAAGAAACAGAGAAGGTTCCTGGGCTAGCTGGATAGTGCCACGATAGGCGCTCTTGTCGGAAATAACCAGACGTCCCTGAATCCAACTATTAGAGGACCGCTGCGACGAACGTTCCTATGCCAAGGACTAGTGCGTGTTTCGCTTCAAGTGTCCAAAAGACTGAGAAGCCGCACACATCCTTTGCTCATGTATTCTGGTATGAATTTCTTTCTCTCTTTTCCCTTTCTTCCGCGTAGTGAGAGTCCCTGTTATAAGCTGACTTGTGACCATTCAAGTGAGACGTCTCCCCCAACGCATTATTGATGCAATTGTTTCACTAGTAGTAGTCAACAAAGTTCGGACTTGGGGCGTCTTAGCGCTGGAGTTTCTCGGCGATGTGCCCGGGGTTGGCCTAATTTCTAATGCTCCTCCAGTCGGTCTCTGGCTCACCATGTGGCCATAATTCTCCAGGGCCCACTAACTAATTCATTTAATTATCCACTCTATAGGTCAGGCAGACGGTGTAAGAATTAGATAATGCAATGAGCGCTTGCTGTCTATTCTGAGTGCCACTTTGCATTACTATTGGCCGGGAAGCACTCCGTAGCCAGTCTATGGCCTCGAGGGGTAGGTACCTAGCAGTCGCGTTCAAGAATTATTCCCTCCTCGTCTCAAAATTGACAGTCATGCGCATGTGCTTGGGGAAGTCCACTGCAATAACCACTGATGCATTTCAGCGAACGGAAATATCTATGAGGGGGGTTGCCAATTACCAATCATCCGCTCTTTTGATGCGAATCAGACGTGGAGCATACTCGTAGTCGGGAAGATCGGAAAAGTGCAATGGCGCCAACCCATAGGCCATCAAAGTAGCCTCTTGGAGAAAGGCGCTATCCCTCTTCTTGTCAATCCCACAGGTCGTTTCGTCCTTGCAATCTGTTTCATTGGCGGCCCAACTGCTCGAGGGGACGGTCGGTAACCTGGCGACCCTATCTCCCTTTTACGAACTTGGCAGATATCGACTGTCGCACTTGTGCTGACAGCGCAGACGACGAGTCCACCTTGGGTACTTTTTAGGGCCGGATGCCCCTAACTCCGAGCCTATATAAACATGCCGAACCTGGGGGCTCTTTTAGTTGTGGTCCGACGAGTGGTTCAACCAGGGACGACTCTTCGAGCGCCGCAAAAGGCTTCTGATCCATCACCCTGGCATCTCTTTCATCATCATCTGATGGTCAGTATCGTCCGTCAGCGACCTTTAGACTAGTGTCTTGAACTCGGAGATTTACCGTGACCCACGCACATGGAACGACCAAAGTCACATATCGAAACCTCAGCAGCCAACTTCTGATTCTCCGCGGCCTGTGCGCAGTCCTCTGTGATAGTGTTGATATTGCTGGTCAATGCATGCGCAATCACGACGAGCACTTCCCTGACGACACGTCAGATCAAGACTGGTAGCAAACAACTTGTTGTAAGCTGCAACCGTCAGCACATCACGATGAGCTCTAACCAAGACACCACGCAACCGGCGTCAAAGAAGCGAGAATCCCGCGCGGGAACTCGTAAAGTGACAACTCTTTCCGCTGAACAACTGGCGCGAAAGCGCGCAAACGACCGAGAGGCACAAAGAACCATTCGTCAGCGGACGAAAGAACACATCGAGCGACTGCAAAACCAAGTGGCTGAGCTTCAAGCCAAGAATCAGCAATTCAATGACGTGATGCGAAGGAATGCCGCCCTGGAGCATGAGATTAAGGGCTTGAGGCAGCAACTGGCCATGCTCACTGGTAACCAAAGCTATAGCAGTGCCGGTATGTGACTGGGAAGCGTCTCCCATGCCCCCTTGCGCACAAATTGACGGCTGGATTGATTGCTAAAGTGTCGGTTCGACTTCGCAGAAGGATCATACACCAGCCCAACGGGAGCCACGCCTCCAAGTCATTACTCAGAATCCCTGAACGTACCTCCGGTGTCAAGGGCGCCCTCTGTCCTCTCCGCCTCGAGCCAGATTTCTGTCGCGCAGGAATGGCAGACGTACGGCTCGACACGGTCCTCATCTATATGCGAATCATCAGATGCGGATTACGGCAACAGGGCCGAACCTTACGGGTTCGAAGCGCAGGCCCAGCCTCCTCATACAATACCCAACGCAATCCCGCACGCCAATTTCAACACCAACGTCGCCCACGCACCGGATCCCACTTTCCAACAATACCCACAGTACTTTCGAGCCAGCGGACCGGAAAGTGCTCGTGGAGAACCGCTTCTACGTCATCCTCAGCAAGCCTTGCCATATGTAACCAGCCAACCGCCCATGCCAATGCCGGATGTCCCACCAGATCGGGCAGCCGGGCCGTATCCAGTACTTCAAGGCTCACATCACTACCCTCATCCCGCTAATCAGCCAGGGGGAAATCAGCCAGGAGGGAATCACGGCTACAGCTACGGCTGGCCACATCAGTCTTGAACTCACTCACCCGGAATTCCAAGCATTTTCCGTCTAGCACCCGAATATCCATGGGAAATTCTATCATTAGTCTGAGCGTGGAGTACGAGATTCACTACTCCCATCGAAGAAGACTCGTTGCATGCCGATTGAGCTAGCGCGTCAACTAGAGAGGCTCGACGCGTATGCTCGGAGGACTTGGTGTGTTGTCGTCGTTGTCGAAGTCGAGGTCGAGGCGGCTCACTTGCAGGAAGCCTCCACCGGAAATGTTCTTATCCGTCGCTGAGGCATGCACATCAGTGAAAGGGCGCCGAGGCGACGGGCTCTTACGAGCAACTTCGAGGCGGTTCTCACCTCTGTTCGCTCCGACGACAACCAAGACACTGTGAGGGGACAATAAACGCAGACAAAGAGAGGAGCTCTCCAACACCGAAAAGCGCCCACAGCTCCGGCGCCGAAGAAAATGGAATAGACTTTATCATCGAACCATGACAACTTCATTCTGTTCCGAAGCGAGGCGCAGAAATGTTCTCACTTCTATCTATAGCCGAAATGCTGATATCATACATGCAAAATGATCGTCGTTAGCCTTCAACAAATAAGAGTTGCAGGCGCTGCCAATAGGACTTTGGGGTGGTTCTGCCGTCGGGGTCAAATCGCCGATCCCCATCATTGCGCTCAAAACAAAACATCCTATAACACACTTACGCCGACTATGTACGCAACGGAAACGGGAGGGGGAGGATAGGAGGAAAAAAAAAAAAAAAAAATAGCTCCCGATCTATTTAGTGTACTGCTTTTGCAGGAGCTTAGCAATTGTCTGCAGCTGAATGTTACTTGTGCCTTCGTAGATGGCACCAATTTTGCTGTCACGGAACATTTTCTCGGCGATGCCTTCCCGGACAAAGCCCATGCCGCCCATCCATTCGACGGCGGAGCCGGCCACACGGCCTGCAACCTGCGATGCGTACAACTTGGCCATGGCGGCGTCTTGGACAAAGTCTTGGCCAGCTTCCTTCTTGCGTGCGGCATTGTAGACGAGAGCCCGTGCGGCAGCGATTTCGACGTAAGCCTGGGCCAGCTGGTGCTGCATGCCCTGGAAAGTTCCGATAAGCTGACCGAATTGACGGCGGTCATTCCAGACGTAGCTGTCATCAATGTGAGTGGTACGTTGGGGTAGGAAATGAGGATCTTGCTCGATGAGGGGGGTGTGATCTTACCTGGCGGCGTTTTCCCAAGCACCCAATGCCAGACCGGTCATCTGAGCAGCAATACCGATACGACCCTCGTTCAGCAGGCCAATGGCGTACTTGTAACCCTGGCCTTCCTCTCCGAGCAGGTTACCCTTGGGAATGACGACATCATCAAAGTTGAGCACGCAGGTACTGCTAGCCCGGATACCCAGCTTCTTCTCCTTCTTGGCAATGGAGAATCCCGGAGTATCCTTCTCGACCACAAATGCCGTGATGCCCTTGTAGCCCTTGCTGGGATCCAGGTTCGCAAAGACGACGAACACCCCAGCCTCCATGGAGTTGGTGATCCACATCTTGGATCCATTCAGCTTGTACCCATCCGCCGTCTTTTCCGCCTTAGTCTGCAAAGCAAAGGCATCGGATCCGGACGCCGGCTCAGAGAGACAGAACGAACCGACGGTCCCCGTAGCGAGCTTAGGCAGCCACGTCTTCTTGAGCGCGGCGTCGGCCCAATTGTTAAAGGCCGTGTTGACGAGGGTGTTGTGCACATCCACCAGGACACTAACGCTGGGGTCGACGCGGGCCAGTTCCTCGATGGCAACAATGGCAGAGGTGAAGTTCATGCCGGCTCCGCCGTACTCCTCGGGGATCTCGATGCCCATCAGCCCTTGCTCGAACAGCTGCTCGACCAGCGCGGGGTCCATGACTTCGGACTCGTCCATTTCCCGCACTTTGGGTCCGATCTGCTCCTGGGCGAACTTGGAGACGGTTTCGGCCATCAGCGACTCGGTTTCGGAGAGATGGGTGATTGGGGTTGGGGTCAGGCTGGAGAGATCGACGTCCCGCCGGCGGGACGTGGTAGAGAAAGCATGGGTGCTGTAGATTGGGAAGTCAGTACATGTGAACATTTTGACCGAAACAATGTAGCGTCGCATGTGGAATAATTGATTAAATTCAATGTAGAACGTACCCTTGTGCCAGTCGGTATGCCAATGGCTGTCTCGCTGCGAGGCGGAAGGAGGGAGCGGTGCGGGACAAGGGCCGCAGAGCACGGGCGATAGATGCCATGGCTGAGTTTGTCAAACGGTAAATCTTTAGAACCGAAGGAGGATAATCCCGAACCTGTGAAAATGTAAAGAGGGGAAGAGAGAGGTAGAAGAGGAAGAGGAAATCCGAGTAGAATGTGGGGAGAGGACGAGAGCAAAATCACGGGGAAAGGCAGCTCGATTATGCCTCGGTTAACCGCGGCTGTCCAAAGGGACCCTTACTGGATCGATCAGTCGCTATAGAACCCGAGATTGGTCATCTTAATAAAATGAAATAATATTCTCTAGTATCATTGTCTGTTCATACGTCAAAAAAAACTTTAAAGATCGAAAATTTCCCCTGTTGATAATGTTGCACCGGTTTGCGAGATCTAATTCTACTATACAGCAGACCTCGGCGCAGGACGGCTGCAACTATACACGAACCACCAGCTCCGGATCATAACCTTCAGACTGCGCAAAATAATAGCCTCTTTGATTCGCCACAATGCGTTTCCCAGTTCTGCTGTCGACAAAATCACAATTATAATGCGTGTGTCCAAACGCCCATAAGCGCACCTGGGGTTTCTCCCAGCACGGCTCCCCAGTGAGATCCGTCGCGAAAGCTGACGTGATGGGACTGTTCACATGCGCAGGATCAGTTGCACGAGCGTCGAGTGTGGGACTGTGGTGAGTGAAGATAACGATCTTGCGATGCGGATCCGATTGAGCGAGGTCGGTGACTTGGTTGTTGAGCCAGGCGAGATCAGCCTCGTGTGCAACACGGTGGCTCTCTACATCCCAGTCCTTGATCTGGTAGAAGTCGTTGAGCGACATGGAGACGCGCTCTTCCTGGCTCTGTGTGATTTTGGAGTGAAGCGTGCACCCTAGTACTGTGACGTCGGGGTAAATATCGTAGCGCGTTTGATCCATGAAGACAAACTCTCCGAATTTATTTTTGGCATTTGTGCTTTCTTCTGACGCCTTTCTCTGGCGAATGCTATCAGAGAAGCGTTTCAGCCTGTCCTTCGCCGTCGCCCAAGTGGAATTCCAGGGCTCATGGTTTCCTAATACTAAGAAAACCACTTGGAATTTTCGAAGCTGGCCTTCAAGAAAGGCGAAAAAGCCGTCGTCTTTGACATAGCCAATGTCGCCTAGAAGGGCTAGATAGGGCGCTTTCGAAGGGATGTTGAATAGGTCGTATGCGGGGGGAGCTTCCAGGTGGATGTCGGATACCAATTGAAACGAAGCCATATTGATGCATTTATCCCTAAGATAGGACCTGAGCGCGTAGTAAGCGGTTATCCTGGGGGAGAATACCAGATTTAGAAAGTCGAATTCTAGACCTCCAGCATCTCTTCCATCTGCAGCCGCCGACAGCATAGACGTTCGTGGACTACGGAGTACCTTAATTCGTGGGGAAGCGCCGTTCAAAACTCTGGCTTCTCCTTCAACCAGTCAGGTTTTCCGGTGAGTGCTAGGGGTTTGAACAACGAATTAATGCTTACAGATCCTTATCTACGCATTTTCAATTTTAAAATCCGGTCAAAAGAAAAGGGATCGGACAAAGAACTATGGCAACTAGTATTGCCGACACAGAGCGCACCGCCACATGGATTATGGTTGGCTAAAGCATTCGCAGTCACATGTGAAAGAGACTGTGGCAGTGCATCATCACTGATATCATGTGGCGCAGCAGTGCCAAGACTGTCCCTGATGCAGTTGGCGGCACGGCAGTCTATTTAAATAGTCCTAAGAATAATAATGAACCCCCGCTCAGGACACCAAGACTTTGCCATTTATCCTGCTATATCCACTACCCTTCTCCCTTTCTTCTTTTCCGTCTCTCTCACTTTTTTTCAACTCTTTCCTTCTTTGATTCTTCTTTCACGCCCGTTGCTCTTTGAGTTGTCGATTCGTGCCTCCGACTTAGCAGCTGGAACATCGACGTCATCGCTTCCCCGCATACGGAGCCACAGACGAGTAGCAGAGACACGTTTCATCGCAATGTCATCCATCCATGATCCCAGACTCCTCTACAGCATCAATAACATCCTTGCCTTCCATATCCAGAATGGCGAAGAAACGGAGCTCACTCCATCCGGACCCCAGACCCTCTCTCTATTGATGGTTCCCACTACCGCTTCGACTTCTCAGACTGGAGGAACAGACGGGCCAGTAGAGGAGGACTTTTATCTTCACTTACACCTCCCACCTGAGTTGGATCTTGCACTTCCTGCAACAACGCAGATCTACCACCAGCCCCCGAATAGCTATCTGATTCCTCGTTGGGATCTGGGACCTGATGCGGGAGCGTTCATTCGCATCCAATTCCCCGGGATTGGGGCGGGGCCCGATAAGGTGACGCAGGAAGATATTGACACCTTCGAAACAATTTTGGCACAATGTACCGCATTCCTCGAACGAGCGCCTCCACCGAAGGAGCACGCTCCGTACAACCCGGCCAGCTATGCCCCCGGGGAAGGCTACGTCTCCTCCGGCCAAGCTACCTCTAGCGACGCACATGGAAAGATTGTTTTGGTTGACGAGGAGAATGGCAGTGTTGTCGGCGAGATGGAAGGATACGAAGTAGTGGAGAAACCCGGTGTGAAGCCAGGCTCCAAGAGTAAGCGTCCCTTTTCTGGGTCGCTGACTGACAAGTTTGCTAACGAGTGGACTAATAGGACCCGTGGAAATTCAGCTCCCTGCCGAGGGTGAGGGAAACCAAATTAGCGTCGGTAATGTGTCGGAAGAATACTTGCAGATGGCTCGTCATCCAGCATTCAAGAACTCCACTATTGTCCAGAAGTCTGCCATGGCATCCCGCTTGATCGTGACAGGATCTTCGTATATCTCCAACGTCCTAACCAGTGGAGCCGAAAGCTTCACCAAGAAAACAAAACCCAATCCCAAGCCAATGACGTTTTCTGAGACCACCCACGCACGATTCCGAAAGATCGGCACCCTCTCTCATGGCGCGGCAGATATCTCCGCCAAAACCGTTGGTCAAGTTGGTAAAGTGGCACAGAATTTTGGTGCCTCTCTCTCCCGACGAGAGGGAAAACAGAAAAGTGTCGACAAGTACGGAAAGGACAGTGATTACAAGCCGGGGATCTTGAACAAGTCCTTGATCGCCTTCTCAACTCTGGCGGATGGTATCGAGCAGGGTGCGCGCAATGTGCTGACATCTGGCTCTGTCGCGGCCAGTACAATGATTGCGCATCGCTATGGAGCGGAAGCCGGTGCCGTGGCGAGCAATGTGACTGGCGGTATCAAGAACGTCGGCCTGGTGTACATTGACGCGTCCGGTGTGAGCCGCAAGGCGGTTATCAAGTCCGTCGCGAAGGGCATGGTCGTTGGACGCATGCGCGACGGTAAACAAGTCGTTGTTGGTACGGGTGATGGAGGCGAAGTGCCTCCCAGCGTAGGTGGCCCCAGTCAATCTATGCTTGGTGGAGGAGACCCCGTCGCACGACGTCCGTCTCCCAGCCCTACACCACCTCCCGCGTATGGGGCTTCGGGTACCGTTTCACTAGGCGGAACGGCTATGTCAGGAGGAAAGCGCTAGAAGTTGTTTGAAGCGTGCATTTTCTTCTTCTTCGTTTGATTTTGTATATCCTTTGGTACGTACAAGGGTTTGTATCTAGGTTTGCCAATTTAGGCTACGACTTTTATGATAGAACTATTATGAATTGAGACCGATCGATTTGCGTGGTTTTTCAATACTTGTCAGCAATAACATAGTGATTGGCTTAGAATGTTGGATATCACCTTCCGTCTTCCTCAGTCAGTATGAGACGTCGAGGAAAAAGCATGGGGGTACGCAAGGCACATTGATATGCAAGTATCCCAGTAATGATAGCCGATCAAGGCAGACAACCTTAAATTTCAAGGCAGACAATCCAAGGGATAAAAGTTATTGAATACTTCTTAGAAAGATAATTGCTAGAAAGGATATCAGCTAGGGAGGCCGATTATCCTCTTGAGTACTTGCAAAATCCTGGCCTTATCCCTGGGTACCAAATATAATTTCCAAGGATGAGATGCGGTCGGGTACCAGGAGGTGGAGATAGTTACGGAGTACCCTGGGCCTGGATGCTGAGGTGCTGAGGTGAGCGGGTAAACATAACCAAGATTTGAGGCTCATGTCATTGGTCCGGAATGACATTAAACTGATCTTTATAGGTCAGAGAATGCTACTGTTGTTAGGTCATAAATCAAGTCTTTAAACAGGTATTCGTACTGCGGTTAGTTAAAGATAGATACATAGACAGTGATTGTGCATTTTGATTGAAAAGAACGGCGAATCGCTGTGGCTGCAGAGGAGTACAGATTGCAGAAGCAATTTCAGATGACGATCAGCCATCCCCAGAGTCCTTACCCAGTGCGGTTTAGTGGGAGTTGCCGTTCCGAGGATTCGAAACGTTGGCTTCGTTGGGTGTGCCCCTGATTTAGAGGGGTTATTATTGGTGCGCTGCAATAATAATAATAGGTGGCCTAAGGTAGTAAGGTCAGCTTCATCTTATGTTTACTGTTTTATGTGTTTGCTAATTGTGCTTTTCTATATATATCAGTCATGATGTTAGTATGCTTGAGGATCAACTGTAGTTTGGTATGGGATATGACAATCTACATACAGAGTACCTAAGTACACCGTACAGTACCTTAGGAATCCCAAAGTGGAGCTTCTGATGTGGCTAATTGACTTCCGTCGCCTCTCCACAGTTGCTTCTACGGTATGTAAGGGGGTCATGGTAATGTAGATACACGTTGGACTTCAATGCGTCCTTGATTGATGCTTTGGGTGTGTTTTTTCAGTAATTAACCGATCGCAAGACTACCGTAGGTTATTTGATTTGATATTGATTCCAACTGAGTCAGTTTGTCATTATCGAATGTCGGATACAGCTGTGATGCACCTTCGTACTTAGCCATCATGACAAAACATCGTCATTCCCAGCCGAGCCGTTGACGGAACTTTTCTTTCTTTTCTATGACAGCCAGCCAGGAATGCTCAGTCGCTGACTGTTCTAGATTGCCTCTGCATGATTCCGAGATCTGAACTATGAAATCTACTCTCGAGTTGATATTACCCCCCTCGCCTCTGCATAACGATAATTAACCACATCCTTGTTAAATAAGGTCGCTTGAAGCGCCATAACTATAGCAACCATAAACCTTCAGAGGTCAGGGATCACTGAAGAGGCTAGATGTATGCATCCTTGAGTTCTCTCCTTGTACTCAAGGAAGGATTAATTTATCATTATGCCCAAGCTGAGTTGCGTTGGCATTATTATTGTACCTAACCTAGCGTGTACGCAAAGAACCAAGTTCCAGCCCAGTAGACTAGCGGTTACTTCGGGGAAACCGTACTACCTCTCTATCTTCTCCTCTTTCCCGTTCATATCCCCTCTCACGGTCTCATCTCACCGTGTTTCTTTCTTCGGTTTCACTTTTTGCCTTTTCCTTCCTGTTTCATCTCCATTTGTTCTTCATTTCTTTGTTTTCTGTTTCTTGCTTGTTTTCTCTTTTTTCCTCTATCGAGGTCTCGTCTCCGACCGTTGTCAGAGACTACCCACCTTTCCTAAGGAGACTGCCTCCGCCCCCTGTTCGCTTTCTGACAAGACGACCAGCTCATTACACTGCCTCGTCACCCCGTTATCGTCGCGCTGCAACTTCCTCTCTCGTCGATCATGATCCTCATCGCAGCGATATCTCCATCTTGTCAATTCTCTCGCCAGTGTTGAGCGTGTGCGCCCGATTGCCCTCGGCTTTCAACCCATCACAGGCGCGGCTTGGTAATTAGGTTGGTTCGATCGCGCCTCCGAGGCTGAACACCATCGTTCCCCCTTCCCGCCCGCGTTTGTCGGTCTTCCCGATCACCGTTCCTTCGAGACGCTACATACCTTCTTCCCGTCGTGTTACCCAATTGGGTAGGGGAAATCTGTGAAGCAGAGGAGAACTTGAAAAGGTAATTCTGCAGTGCAGATATCGCCCACCCCTCTTCATTTCTGGTTGCAAACGAAACGAAGAGAGCATAAAGAAAATCAAAAAAGAAAGTAAAAAAGAGAGAAAATAGAGAGAACTCGGGAGCTGGTTTACCACGCGTTTTCCCCTTTATGTCCCTTGTCTTTCTACTTGACTGCTCAAATTATCCTACCAAACCTTCGTTCTTCTTTTTTGGCCTGGTGTCTGCGTGTTTACTACATCGCATCAATACTCTATCGCAAGCAAGGCGAGTCGATTGGCGGTGT